TGGAACAGACGGTCACTTCTGTGCGGAGTTCCGCCAATTCGTTGCGTTTCAGTTTATATTCATTGCTTTTGTCGCGCAATGTATTCACGAATTGTTTTAACTGTTATTTTGCGGACAAAATTCAATTAAATTCAGTTTTTTGGTAGTAATCTATGAGGGAATGGATGGTTAGACCACATACTGCCTGTCCTTTGAGCGGTTGGTCACCGTCTTTGAGTCCACTCCTCTTGGTTTTGAGTATTTTCTCCAAGTCTTTCAACTCGTGTTCCGCTTGTTTGACGGAATCCGACGTCACCTCCCGTTTCTTCGCCACATCCGCCGCCTTACCATTCATTATATTTGAGTTTTAAAGTAATTAAAAATGATTTTGTCATACATTTTGCCGAAACAAAGCCATTTTGTCGGCCATCGGGTCGTTGTTAAGCATCTTATTCTCGACGATTGTATTGATCTCCCTATTCAGCGCCTGTATCTGAATCTGGAGTTTGTTTAAGTAGTCGTTACTCATCTGCGGCTGACTCTCAATCTTCTGGATGTCGTCCACGTATTTCTTCAGCTGATCCAACTCCGAGGGCAGCACTTCGTCGATTAGGTGGCGCTTAATCTTCACCTCATCCTCGAGTCTATCGATCAGATCCTGAGGTGACGTTCCGCTCGCCTGACAAATAGGTCGACCAAAAGGTTTCATTAAAAAATATATTTAATTCCTGGCTCATTTAAATTAAATATGATTTTTTATAGCCCTAACCTGAAAATTATTTTTGGTTTCCTTGAGCTGTTGCTCCAGACGTTTGAACTTCTGGTCGATTTGGTCCGACTGGACGTCCTGTTGCTGTAACTGAGCGTAGATTTGATCGTTTTTAGCCTTTTCTTCGCGATATTCCTTCACGAGTGCGAAATACTCGGCGTTGGCGTTCACGTCAACCCTCCTCTTGATATTCTGGGTCTTCTGCGCGATCTGTTCCCTCTCGTCCTCCATGGCCTTCACGTCTTTCTGAACCTCGTGTACCGATGCGATCGACTTCTTGAGCGACTCGTACGAGCCGTGGATTGTCTTAAACTCGTCGATCATTCGCTGATACTTTGGTTTTCAGGGATTAATTCATTAGAAATTTTAAAAATATATTAAAAGATTTTTATTTATATATGGATTACCTGTTGATATATGATAAGCACGTCGTGGTCACCCTCCACTTCCGGTGATAATTCAATTTTCACCAAATACTTTGACAAATAGGCTCTTTTCTTAAGGGCTGGTAGTCTATGCAAAAGCCAACTAAGTATATGAGTGGTCAGGGATCTGTCGCCTAATATCAACGCCGACCGGAATTCGCTTCTATACCCAGAATATAATAAAATGAATAAAAATTTATTTGTTTTATAATTAATTGTCTGTTCATACGGTTGTATATCATTGGGGGGAATGTATTTCATGATTCTTAAGGTCTCCAGAATAGTGGCCACCACTTCCTCCGGTTCCAGGTTTCGTAAGGACTCGCTTTTGAACTAAGTTTTAATTAATTAATTAAAATAATGAAACATTTTATTATGTTAATCTGTTTTGTATTATCAATGAATACTAACCGTGGAATCGATTTCATCGAAAACCTGTAACAGAATCTCGATTCTCTGTTCACCTCTTAAGGTGTCATAACTCACTATATTTAGTCCCTTATTAAAGGGCTGTTTATTTAATTCACTGATTATGTACTTTATTTCCTCCATTATTAATACACCGATTAAATACACATTTTATTTAATTGTATGACAAATACTTTACACATTACATATTCATCACAACAATTGGTTGCTATGGACTGAATTCACAACAAATACACTGTTTTAGGAAATAATCAATTATAGCTCTCTCTCTCTCTCTCTCTCTCTCTCACACACACACACACACACTCACTCACTCACTCACTCACTCACTCACTCATACACATTCTG